ATTTAGGGTTTATAATGTATTTCATGTGTTCATGTTACGCAAGTACAACTCGGACCTCTCACATATCTTGTCTCACGAGCCCCCTTCACTCCAGGAGGATCTATCTTATGAGGAGGTACCGACACGTTTTAGGTTTGTGGCATGTTGGCGACAACGTCTCTCCGGTGGTTGAGCTCTCCTCTGGCCGCCCCTCTTCTTCTTCTCCGGTTAGGGCATCGACTAGGGTTTTAAGGAGCCGAGTAAGAGAGGTTTAAATATCTCTCTTTTTTCAATCAGGGTCGTCCGTGCTGGTCCACATGATGCAACAGAGGCCGTCCGATCGCACTTATTTAAGAAATGCATCTGAATCATTCAATTGAAGACATGCGAGTCGTACGATCGAGCCTATTCAAAAAATTGATCTGAGCCATTCGTGAGCGCGACCTCGAGCTGTTCGATCGGCCTAACGTGCAGATTGCCAGCGTGGCTTCCCACGTGGAGCCCGTGTTGGTGTGTCCGCCACGCGGCGTACGGTGATTTGTCATGCTGCTGACTAGGCGTCCACGTGGCATGTTTCTTCCTTTTCGCGAATCGATCCTTCCTTTCTAAATTTCTTTTCAAACAAGTCCTCCCTTATTTTCAGTTTGACATTACTTTCTAAAATTATTTTCAAAAGTGTCCAAAATACATATATCTCAAAAACAAAATAATTAAAATTAAACACTACACATTATTGTTATTTGAAAAAAATAAATTTCATCCATCCGAACCTAGTTTTCGGACTCAGGACGTTACATTTCATCTCTTAACAAAAAAAAAAAAAAAAAAAAAACTCTTTATTTAATCAATACTTATTACATGCATTCAAATTGAAAGCTTAAATAGAATTAACATTCAGATTTTCAGACTCCAAATAAATTCAAAATTTTTTTTATTTTGTTCTTGAGTAGTCTATTGATGGATGGTCTTGGTGCCCGGATCAAAACATGCTTCCCAAAGCACACAACAAAGAAGAGTGCGAATCCTGCAAAAAAATAAAATAAAAAAAATTAAATTAAAACATGTTAAATTTGTATTTAATTACCAATTAATTTTAAAATTTTAATTATATAATACATAAAATTTGTTCATATTTATATATTTAATTACATAAAATTTCCACTTGTTATAAAAGAAATCAGAATAAAATATGACTTGAATTAAATATAAAAAAATTTAAAATTAAAATATATATTTATTGTATTTGTATTATATTAAGGTAATAAATATTTCTATTACATAGAACAAATTTAAGCAATTAGATCTAAAGCTTTTGGACCAAATTAAATACGAACAAGTCTGATTTTGATTTTTAAAATTTTGATCTTTATGTTTATAATAGTTATCATTTAATATATGAGGGTATTATGTGTATACGACTTAGATTAATTTTTTTTTTAGCGAAAACTAATTCATCATTAATTAGATAATATATAAAAATAATGCAACTTTTAAATCGAGACATATAATTTAGGATCCAAATCTATAGTATTCTCGATATAAAATTATTGATACGATTAGCACATGCAGATAACACAATTTACTAAAAAAAATAATAATCGAAATAACACAAGCAAATAACATAATTTATTAAAACAAAATACTCGAAATAACATAATTTACTATGAAAAATACTCGTAAAAACATAATTTATTTTTTTTAAAAATTCGAAATAATATAATTTACTAAAAAAATATTCGAAATAATATAATTTATTAAAAAAAATATTTACTTAATAGTAGAAATTTTGTATATAATAATAAAAGTACATGACTATCTAGATTTATTATAGAAAGAAAGAAGACTTGAAACAACTTACATAGGGTTGAATGTTTTTCCTCTTTGATTGAATTTCAACTTCTTTTTTCTTTGTTCTTTTACAACAGCTTGGAAACTGAACACACTTTGACCTCGTCCCTGTATATATATATATATATATGTATATACATATATAATTGGAATAGCCATTT